TAAATTTAACAAAATTCTGTCGTTCGTCATAATGTCTTAGCTGGTAGAGATAATCAGATGTAGAATATTCATCTTTAAAAGTTTTATAAAATTCTAGTTTTTTTGAATTTTCGAGGCTGTGCCGCCAAAAAGATAGATATTTCTCTCTCATTTCTGTGGTATATCGTCTAATTTTATCATTATCTAGAGATTCAGCATCTAAACTGGTTAGACGGTATTGTTCAAGCATGTTTATGAAATTGGAAAAATATCCGGAATTATTCATAGAATGTAGATTCTTTGACATAAGGAAAGACTGTTTGACTATAGAGTCATTATCTTTGTTGTTGAGGTAAACAAAATATTTCATAATTTTCTGATTTATCGGGATAAGCAGCGGCAGTCTATCAAGTTCAGCTCTGCAGGCTATGTTAGAGGCCTTATTGTTAACCTCTAAGTAACGTTTACAGAATTTGAGGTGGATTTTTTCTATTGGGTAGCTATCCCATTTTTTAAAATCTTGCTTGGTATACATTCCCCATACCTCGCTGTTGTAACTCAAGATTGGGAATACCATGGTGTCAAAAATTTGGGATGCAGTATTAGGATTAAGTTTGTTAAGAATTGTCCGCTTCCGAATACTAGAAAACGCGTGAAGGGCCTTTTCTTTTAAGTGTTCGAGTGCAAGTGTAAAGTTTCCCGTTGGAGTTAAACGTGTACCTAAATAAGTGTATTCTTGGACAATTTCAATTGACTCACTGCCTATGTTGAATTTGATGTCAATAGATTTTTTGGGCGTTTCTGGAATATCATAATTTTTGTTTTCTTCGGATTAATTTTTAGCTTCCATTTGTCACAATACAAAGAAAGCGCATTTAAACAGTTCTGTAATCCAGTTTTCGATCTTGATAGAATAACTAAATCATCTGCGTAGAAAAGTGAATTTATTTTTCTCCCATTTGGGAGAACAAATGGGTCAGATAAGGTGTTTTCGAATAAAAGTGGTAGATTGTTTAAATAGAGGTTAAATAAAAGAGGACTTAAAATACAGCCTTGACGTACACCTCTGGAATATGAAAAAGGCTGTGTTTTGTTTTCACCGATTTTGATGGAACATGTCGAGTTGCAATAAAGACTTTTCATGAGGTTGTACAAGTTTCCTCCTATATTCGTTTTAGCAGCTTATAAAACAATCCTTCGTGCCAAACAGAGTCAAACGCTTTGCGGAAATCTACGAAACAAGCGTAGACTTTTTCCTTGTGATAATGCACATATTTATCTATTAGGGTCCTTAGAGTGAAAACATGGTCTGCAGTGCGGTTTTCAGGCAAAAAGCCAATTTGGGAATTATGTAATATCTTATTTTCCTCAAAATACAAGTGAAGTCTTCGATTTAAAATAGAACAGAACAGTTTTCCAAGGCAACTAGAAACACATATGCCTCTGTAATTTGTTGGATCACTCTTGTCACCAGATTTGTAAATTGGGGTTATGAGGCCTTGACACCAAGTAGTAGCTGTAGTACCTGTAGTAGCTGTAGTAGGTGTAGTAGCTGTAGTAGCTGTAGTAGCCGTAGTAGCTGTAGTAGCTGTAGTAGCCGTAGTAGCTGTAGTAGCTGTAATAGCTGTAGTACCTGTAGTAGCCGTAGTAGCTGTAGTACCTGTAGTAGCTGTAGTATCTGTAGTACGTGTAGTATCTGTAGTAGCTGTAGTAGGTGTAGTAACTGTAGTAGCTGTAGTAGGTGTAGTAGCTGTAGTAGGTGTAGTAGCTGTAGTAGCTGTAGTATCTGTAGTACGTGTAGTATCTGTAGTAGCTGTAGTAGGTGTAGTAGCAGGTGACAAATGATCTATTTGGTATCGACCTTGTTCAATCAGAAGTTTGTGATTATTTATTTTAAACTGGACCAAAATGTCATTCATCATAATGTCTTAGCTGGTAGAGATAATCAGTTGTAGAATATTCATATTTAAAAGTTTTATAAAATTCCATTTTTTTTTATGTGTCGCAAAAAAGATAGCGGATATTTCTCTCTCATTTCTGTGGTATATCGTCCAATTTAATCATTATCTAAAGATTCTGTATCTAAACTGGTTAGATTGTATTGTTCAAACATGTTTATGAATTTGCAATAATATCCGAAATTATTCATAGAATGTACATTCTTTGACATAAGGAAAGACTGTTTGATTATAGAGTCCTTATCGTCGCCTAAGATTTAGTCTTTAAGCGGATAATTGCCTAGCTAGCCGTGCAGAGAAATCGTTGAAAATCGTTCATGCGCCTATTCATGCGCATATTTTATATTGTAAACATAAATAAAAGAATAAAGAGCTGATGGGGAAATGAAATTTCGGAGCTGAAGTTCTAAACCTTCCCAAAATACCAAAATTACCAACATTTGTTTCAAGATTCAATTTTGCGAACAGAAATGTAGATAAATTCATTGAAAAGGTATTATTCTATCGTCATTAGCGTTTTTATGCTTATTACATATTTCTTTTATTGTTTGTATAGATTACTTTCTTATGTTTTGTTGGCAAACATTCCTTTAATTTCTAGAATGTTCGTCTTGATTTAAATTCTTGATGTCCCTGGAAATGACAGATTGTTGAAAGAATTGTTTTGAGTAATAGCATAGCAAAGACAACGAAAAAAAAGATTCTGCGAGTAGAGCAGCGGTTGGCTCGAGAAAATTATGAGTTTCCCATTACTTAGGTAGAGACTTCAATAAGAATAATTTCAATTTTTAAGAAAAGCATCTGATCATTAGTTATGGAAAAGAGCCAATGGCTCTTGTTATCGATGAATGTGGCAATAAAAGTTTTTTACATTTGAATACGAGTCTTTCTGTTGACTTTTTCCAGTTAGTCACACTCGGTCGTCTTAAAGTCGCGAGAAGGGGGTGGGGAAGGTGAATATATTGTTTTCCAACTACGTTTCCGGACTCGCTTTCCAGTATCGTGATGTCACATAGTAAAGGGTGAAAGCCTCAGGGACACCCAACAACTGTCTCCTTTAAAGTACGTTGGAAACACTTTTTACGCTGTCCAGAGTTTTCTTTTCTGCGCCCTAGAAATGCATTCTAAGCGGCAATACAAAATTGTTATCGTTTAGGTCATTAGAGTTTCCCACAAGCAGGCCACAAGTTGCTCGGCAACTTTTTGGCAACTTCTCGTATTTCGAACAACTTCTTTCCTATATAGCAACTATTGGCTTTTTTATTAAGATTTCTCTAGAACTTTGTCATCTAACTCTGTGATATCGGAGCAGCTCTTAGTGTTTAAATTAGCCTTTGTTCCATATTTCACAATGTTTTGTATACAACTTGCAAATTACCTGTAGAAAAAAGGAGACAAATACTCCTCCCCTGAGGCACATTAAGGGCGCAAGATAAGTCAGCGGTTTTTACAGAAAATTTTAAATGATTGACGCAGATTCTCACTCGACTGACTCGAGTGTCTCGGGTGAAGAAAGTCATTAAGCATTTTTCTTGGCTCATTACATTTCTTTCTTGATTTTAACTCCGGACAAAGTTATTAAGCAAAGCTGGTTGCGCTGAAAAATTGCACAAAAATGCTAAGAAATGGTACTTTTGTTTGTACGATTTGCATATTTTCATAACTTCAGACCAAACAAACATTTTGTTTTTCGAGCAACCTTTGAGTAAGTTTTGTTGCAATAAGCAACTTTTGATTGTTTTTGGCAACTTTTGAGCATTTGTTTGAGAAATAATGAGAAACTTTTTGGAAAATCTCGAACAACTTATGGAAAGCCCTACCGGTCTGACCGGTCATCCTAGAGGAACTTAAGTCAGTTTTCAAAATTACAAAGGCTTCAGTGTTACTTTTTCGAGAATTTTAGTTGCAATTTAACGATTTACGAAAGTGAGGATTTTTCTGGTTACCTCTCCCCATCACATTTTAGAATCCAAAAAAATAAAAGAAAAGAAAAATATTGTAACGTGGGAACTGATTTTGAAACATTAAAAATCAGAATTCGTAGGGAATTTATTAGGTATAAAGCATCGAAAATTGTTTATGAATGGAAGGTCCATCTAGAAATTTTTAGTCTTTCTCAAGCAAAAGAAAATTCTTGGCAATATTTGCTTCTCCGAACAGATGTTTCGCAGAAAATTGTCTTTGGGTGTCCCTGGTAGCCTCGCCGGGTCAATTTTGTGCAATTGAGCATGGGACACCCCAGTCGTAAGAACAAGAGAGGTCGCGTAAAAAGATAAAAGCTAGAAAATATTTCTATATATCACTAACTTGATCAAATGTGTGTGAACCTTGACGTTCCTTTCATAAGCTTGTGCAAATCGTACTTTGTAGAAGGTTCCATTCAGGACTCACATACCTACATTTATATTCTATATATTCTCTCGCCCATTAAATCGACCGTAGTTTATATTAATCCCTTTGAGTATGGACTCGGTTTCACTGGCTTACTCCTAATAATCCTCCAAGTTTGGTCGATTGACTAAATCGATAAGCCCGTTGAACCCGAAATAATGCGAAATAGCTTTGAAGCCCGCTTAAGCTAATTTTCGGCAAAAATGTATACTCAACAGCTTTCGTATTTTTATTCATCAAATTTATATAATACGCATTGGCCACTCTGCTGCTAATAACGATCCCATGAACCTCATATTGCTGGGTCTAGATTCCTTCATGTTGCGGTGCAGCGGCACTTGAAAGTGAGACTAGTCGATATGAATGCTTGGAAAATTGGCTGGAAGGTAGAAAGGAATCTTTACAATTCCTTACACCACTGGACGCCCCTACTAAGGCTGCTACAGCTACTACAGGTACTACAGGTACTACACCTACTACAGCTACTACACCTACTACAGACACTACAGCTACTACAGTTACCACACCTACTACAGCTACTACAGCTACTACAGGTACTACACCTACTACAGGTACTACAGGTACTACAGCTACTACGGCTACTACAGCTACTACAGGTACTACAGGTACTACAGGTACTACAGGTACTACAGCTAATACAGCTACTACGGCTACTACAGGTACTACAGCTACTACAGCTAATACAGGTACTACAGCTACTACAGGTACTACAGGTACTACAAGTACTACAGCTACTATCGCTACTACGGCTACTACAGCTACTACAGCTACTACAGCTACTACAGGTACTACAGCTACTACAGCTACTACAGCTACTACAGCTACTACAGCTACTACGGCTACTACAGCTACTACAGCTACCGCAGGTACTACACCTACTACAGGTACTACAGGTACTACACCTACTACAGGTACTACAGCTACTACAGCTACTACAGCTACTACAGTTACTACAGCTACTACAGCTACTACAGCTACTACGGCTACTACAGGTACTACAGGTACTACAGGTACTACAGCTACTACAGCTACTACGGCTACTACAGCTACTACGGGTACTACAGCTACTACGGCTACTACAGCTACTACAGCTACTACAGCTACTACAGGTACTACGGCTACTACAGGTACTACAGGTACTACAGCTACTACAGCTGTTTTATATTTTGTTTTTGTTTTTGTTTTATATTTTGATTGTCATATACATGCTTTTGCAATACTGTAAAATGATGCGGTCATGCAAATAAAGCAATTTATTACTATTACTATTACTACAGCTCAGTGACAACTACTACAGCTACTACAGCTACTACAGGTATTACAGCTACTACACCTACTACAGGTACTACAGCTACTACAGCTACTACAGCTACTACAGGTACTACAGGTACTACAGGTACTACAGCTACTACGGCTACTACAGCTACTACAGGTACTACAGGTACTACAGCTACTACAGCTACTACAGGTACTACACCTACTACAGGTACTACAGCTACTACAGCTACTACAGCTACTACGGCTACTACAGCTACTACAGCTACTACAGCTACTACAGGTACTACAGCTACTACAGGTACTACAGCTACTACAGGTACTACAGGTACTACAGCTACTACGGCTACTACGGCTACTACAGCTACTACAGCTACTACAGCTACTACAGGTACTACAGGTATTACAGCTACTACAGCTACTACCGCTACTACAGCTACTACAGGTACTACAGGTATTACAGCTACTACACCTACTACAGGTACTACAGGTACTACAGCTACTACAGCTACTACAGCTACTACAGGTACTACAGGTACTACAGCTACTACAGCTACTACGGCTACTACAGCTACTACAGGTACTACAGGTACTACAGGTACTACGGCTACTACAGCTACTACAGGTACTACACCTACTACAGGTACTACAGCTACTACAGCTACTACAGCTACTACAGCTACTACGGCTACTACAGCTACTACAGGTACTACAGGTACTACAGCTACTACAGGTACTACAGGTACTACAGCTACTACAGCTACTACAGCTACTACAGGTACTACAGGTACTACAGGTACTACAGCTACTACAGCTACTACGGCTACTACAGCTACTACAGGTACTACAGGTACTACGGCTACTACAGCTACTACAGGTACCGGCTACTACAGCTACTACAGGTACTACACCTACTACAGGTACTACAGCTACTACAGCTACTAAAGCTACTACAGCTACTACGGCTACTACAGCTACTACAGGTACTACAGGTACTACAGGTACTACGGCTACTACAGGTACTACAGCTACTACAGGTACTACAGCTACTACAGCTACTACGGCTACTACAGCTACTACAGCTACTACACCTACTACAGCCACTACGGTACAGCCACTACAGCACTGACAGCGGTGGGCGGTGGCCCGGGACATTTTGGGCAGTTCGGCGAAGTCGGTCATCTGAAATGACCGATTGCGCAATGTAAAACAAAAGACATGTTGACAACTCATAGAATACGATCCTCTCTAAATCATCACGACTGAATGTTTCATTTCATTTACAAGTCATCGTTTGACAGCTTAACCAAATTAATTAGAAATTTGATTCATTGCACTCAATGGAAACATAGAAAAAAACTCGTGGGACCTTTCAAAGCAAGCCGCGACAAACGGCGAGTAAAACGCGTGAACAATTTTGCGTGTGAGCTGCAAATGCCGAGTTAAAAACTATTTTTCTTGTGAGTGAAATATTTGGCTAAAAGCGAGGAAAACTAAATGCACGCCGTAACAATTATTCCGAAACCAAAACTTACATAGAATTCTTTAGTCAGTTTGCAAAGGTTAACGCAAAATTTTTTTAGTACAATATTGATTTTGCCAACGAAAGGCCTCGTTGCTTGAACGACTATAAACTGCGAGTAGTCTATTATTTTCCTTTACAAAGCCGCGAACTGATAAATGCGGGCGTCTCGACCTTCGCTGATTTCACTGAAAAGCTTTGGCCGAAAACGGAAAGAGTGTGTATAATATGCGAGCCAGCGAGTCATGCGAGTCAACATGTGAGTCAACATGCGAGCCATGCGAGTCATGCGAGTCAGCATAAAATAACTTTGTTTTTAACGTAAACTACTAAGTAACGTATCTATTCCAAAGGCAGGTCCTTTAAAATTCAGCTTCAGAAAAATTCGCCAACGTACAAATTGAACGAGGTGAAACAATAACAAAGGTTTGAGAATGCGTTACACAAAGGTTTAAAGGTTCTTCCTCGGTCACGTTTAATGAGTCACACCATATGTGGTAAGCCACGTGACCAGAACATAAAAAACACTCTTTAAAACCCAAACGTCTTGCGTCTTTCATAATAAAACCAATGCCAATGGCTTAAGAATATCGCGATAAAAAATCTGACTTACTAACAAGTTTAACGTTCCTTCTCAAAATTCACAGTTATTGAAAAAGCTATGACGTCATTGAGGGGTATTTTCGTTAGCGAGTCAACATTTTACGAGTTTATTCCTTGCGATTTACTTAAGATGTTTCTTTTCTTCAAGTTTATACACTCGATAAAATTGCGGGCGACATGACTTAAGACTCATGACTTCGGGCGAGACGACTTTCGGGCGACTTGACCGGTTACCTTTTCATACATTTTCTTTAAAAGACTTTCTTGCTGTCGTCTGAACGCTAATTTCATGCTACAAATGTTAAAAAAGTTAAATTACTTATGATTCGCCAAAAAATGGATTCTCTTTCCTTCGAACTTCTGTCTCGCATGGCTCACATGATGACTCGCATGACTCGCATGACTCGCATGACTCACTGGCTCGACTCGCATGACTCGCTGGCTCGCTGGCTCGCAGTTTGTCAAGACCCAAACGGAAAGCGCGGGCATGGAAAGTCTCTGGCACTCAGGGTAAATTCTCTATTCTAAAGTTGTTGTTTACAATCTCACTAGCTGGAATAAGAACTAAACAGATTTTAAGAGAAATGGCGGGCTGCAAACAGTCTAGAAAGACTTTCTTAAATGTTTGAAATAAACACGACGTAAAAACTGGTAATGTTGTGAGACGTGACCTTAGAGTTTGCTTGAACAACAGGGGTTTTCCTTCTTTCCCTCGTCGCGCGTTGGTCACCATGCCGCACATGGAGCGTTCTAAAATTGTATGTTTTCCGCCGCACTGAGACTTACATTTAGCGGTCATGAAAATGGTCTATGCAAAAAAAGGCGGCCTGCAAGCAGTCTAGAAAAACTCTCTTAATTGTTTGAAATAAACACGACTTATAAACTAGTAATAATGTGAGACGTGACCTTAGAGGTCCTTAGAGTTTGCTTGAACAACAGGGGTTTTCTTTGTCGCGCGTTGGTCACTATGCCGCGCGTGGAGCGTTCTAAACTTTGACTGAGCGAATCTTATTTTTTCCGCGACATACATTTCGAGGTCAAGAAGATGGTCCATGTATACTGGGTAATTATTTTCTAAAAATAAAGATTTTAGTTTCTTTTGTTTTCACTCAAGATCATTTTTAGACGCTGATGAGTTCCATTAAGTTTTTCTTGGAACAAGTAAGTCTTTGAACTGGAGCGCCATTTTTTTCTGTAGGTATTAAAGTATTATGCCTGCCAAGATTGCAGTCATAAGCCTAAAAATGGTCAAAGTTAAGAAAAAGGATTGCTTAATATTAGATTTCAAAAGTTTCTACATTTTTAAATCTTAATGATATGAGTTTTCATATGAGCGAAAAGCTTTTAGACACATAAACGTATAAAGTTCATGGTGCCTCCGGTTGATTTTTTGCTCTTCAAGGGCTATTGCTTGAACAAAGCCTTCTGGAGCATCTAAAGGTCGGTAGTTGTTAAAATGATAATACTAGGTTAATAAATACATGTTTCAATACTAAGGAAAACTATTACTTGTTCATTCCCCTGCAGTTTAAGGCAAAACGCAATAGAATCCAGCCATATCCTAAATGCACAGAAAAAGATACAAAACTCAACAGAAAGGACAAATAGAATAGCATAGAGTTTATGCCATTATCAATAACAACCCTTTATGATCCAGTGTAACTTCAAACAACAATATTTTCTAAATGACCGATTGTCAGTAAGAGAAGTATAATGTCAAAAACCCATTCCCAAAACCTATTCACTTAAGATGACTATTAGATAAGTTTACAGGTGAAGTAAAAATGTGATGAATTTCTAACTCACAGAAACACGGGCGACACACCTAGTGTTCTGTTGCATTTCACAATTTGCACTTAGAAGTCGCAGAACATCATGGCATTATCAAAAACCTACTCACTCAAGATGACTATTAGATAAGTTTGCAGGTGAATTAATAATGCCATGAATTTCTAACTCACAGAAACACGGGCGACACACCTAGTGTTCTGTTGCATTTCACAATTTGCACTTAGGAGTCGAAGAACATCATGGCATTATTAAAAACCTACTCACTCAAGATGACTATTAGATAAGTTTGCAGGTGAATTAATAATGCCATGAATTTCTAACTCACAGAAACACGGGCGACACACCTAGTGTTCTGTTGCATTTCACAATTTGCACTTAGAAGTCGCAGAACATCATGGCATTATCAAAAACCTACTCACTTAAGATGACCATTAGATAGGTTTGCAGGTGAATTAATAATGCCATGAATTTCTAACTCACAGAAACACGGGCGACACACCTAGTGTTCTGTTGCATTTCACAATTTGCACTTAGAAGTCGAAGAACATCATGGCATTATCAAAAACCTACTCACTCAAGATGACTATTAGATAAGTTTGCAGGTGAATTAATAATGCCATGAATTTCTAACTCACAGAAACACGGGCGACACACCTAGTGTTCTGTTGCATTTCACAATTTGCACTTAGGAGTCGAAGAACATCATGGCATTATTAAAAACCTACTCACTCAAGATGACTATTAGATAGGTTTGCAGGTGAATTAATAATGCCATGAATTTCAAACTCACAGAAACACGGGCGACACACCTAGTGTTCTGTTGCATTTCACAATTTGCACTTAGGAGTCGCAGAACATCATGGCATTATCAAAAACCTACTCACTCAAGATGACTATTAGATAAGTTTTCAGGTGAATTAATAATGCCATGAATTTCTAACTCACAGAAACACGGGCGACACACCTAGTGTTCTGTTGCATTTCACAATTTGCACTTAGGAGTCGCAGAACATCATGGCATTATCAAAAACCTACTCACTCAAGATGACTATTAGATAAGTTTGCAGGTGAATTAATAATGCCATGAATTTCTAACTCACAGAAACACGGACGACACACCTAGTGTTCTGTTGCATTTCACAATTTGCACTTAGGAGTCGAAGAACATCATGGCATTATTAAAAACCTACTCACTCAAGATGACTATTAGATAAGTTTGCAGGTGAATTAATAATGCCATGAATTTCTAACTCACAGAAACACGGGCGACACACCTAGTGTTCTGTCGCATTTCACAATTTGCACTTAGGAGTCACAGATCATCATGGCATTATCAAAAACCTACTCACTCAAGATGACTATTAGATAAGTTTGCTGGTGAATTAATAATGCCATGAATTTCTAACTCACAGAAACACGGGCGACACACCTAGTGTTCTGTTGCATTTCACAATTTGCACTAAGGAGTCGCAGAACATCATGGCAGTATCAAACACCCACTCTTGAATACATACAGATAGATGAAAAAGAAGAATTTCTTCTTAAAGTTAAATGTCGCCCTTTAAACAAACATATTGTAGTGTTTTCTGTCAAAAAAATGTCAGACTGCTTAAATTCCTCGCTAAAACTCTTGACTGAATCGGAGGAGCCGAACATGCATAGCTTTCCATTACATGGGCTGGAATTCAAAGCAATGATACCAAG